GTTTTCATGGGCTATATTTAGGGATTTTTTTTAATAATGTTTTAGTCATAGAAATTGCTTTATTTTTTCTATTGGTTTCATCATCAATCATGGGTTTCAGTTTTTGTTTCTTTGTGCTTATTTTTTACTAACTTAGTACTAATTTAGCTAACTTTAATAAGTCGATTTTATGCTTGTCATTTGGAATTTTTAGGTTTTTTCTCGATCTTTATCATTTACATACCTTTGTAATGTATGCATGATTTTTCCATAATTTTCCTTTAATGGATCAAAAAATTATTTTAAAGTAAATTTAAGTATATTCTAAATTAGCTCAAAATGGTATTGTTGCCAATATTGACAAATAAAAAATTATTTAGTTTTAAATTTACTTATTTATTTATGATTAAAGTTCTTTAAGCCTAGCTAAACATCACCACCTTTCTAAAACGAGAAGCCGTTCATTCCGATCCAACAGCCAGCAAATTGTAAGTTGTAACCGATGAATTTCACTATATAATTTGTAGAAAGGAAAATTACAAAATCTCTCTCTTTTCTCCCAAGTGATACAAAAAGAGAAATTGATAGACATTCTAAAAAATTATTTAGTTTTAAATTTACTTATTTATTTATGATTAAAGTTCTTTAAGCCTAGCTAAACATCACCACCTTTCTAAAACGAGAAGCCGTTCATTCCGATCCAACAGCCAGCAAATTGTAAGTTGTAACCGATGAATTTCACTATATAATTTGTAGAAAGGAAAATTACAAAATCTCTCTCTTTTCTCCCAAGTGATACAAAAAGAGAAATTGATAGACATTCTGAAAAATTTTCCCAATTTATGGTGCAAATAAACCCTATTGACACTTTCTCAATTACATTAATGTTGGATTGACACTTGATAATTCACTTCTTAACAAATTTTATCAAGTTCCCATTTATCAGTTCCGCAATCTTATCACCCAAAAATTCACTATTAAAAAACCTTTCGTCAAAATCCACAATCCCAAACTCGTTTGGGGATCTGTTTAAAGTATACAAGAAGTGAGATTCTCAAGTGGGTTATGATCGATTTAGAGAAAAACACAAGGATGTTTCGGGAAGTTGGTCAATATCCTTGCAACATTTTGAAGGTGAATTTCAGTGTAATGAGTTGAGATGAATTATGTAAGTGTTTTGGTCAAATGTTGGAATTGGATTCTTGGTAATATGGATTATTTGTACAAGATGTGAGTTCAGTGGACTAAATCTTCTGTTCTTACTGATAAACGTGATGCCCTTCTTGTTATGTATTTGGTCGTGCTTACACTACATCACTCACTAAAATCCCACAAAATCAAAATCCAACATTTTACTTACACTAAATTACTCACTACATGTGTAACGCACATGCATTCACTAGTAATTAGTAAAAGAATGGACGTCTAACATTCGATGGTCTAAATATAATATTTTGTGAAATTCAATAACAAGTCTGATGGGTTTGAAAGCAAATTAAAAATTAGTACGCAATGTTATAAAAAGTACAAAGTTCAATGCCAAAAAAATTATATTTAGCTCTTCCCGCCAAAAAAATAACAACGTAACAAAATGATTACGAGTCTGAACTTACAGAAATTTACCCAAATAACTCTAGCTAATTAATTGCCACACTATTTTCTCTACAAAGACTTTTAGTGCACGTGTTCGATTTAGCTTAAAAAAAATACGATTTTTAGTAAATTTTAATAATAATAATCGCTAAAAAGATAGAATATGATTTCATCCAACAGTGTAGAGTTGATTATATATCAATCTATACGAGTATCTTATAATAAAATAATCTGTATAAGAAAACCAGCCCATAGAATATGATTTCACACATTGTTTTCTACCATAAATTTGTGGTTTTGCTCTCCACAAAGTTCTACTGGCAAGCATTGCCATATCAACAAAATTTCCTATTAAAAATTCAAAATAATTCCACATTGTGAATGGATTTTTCAGTCAATAACATTAATTAGCATCAACCTGATCCAAAGCCCATCAAGAATCCGGTTTAGCGATTATTATTATTATTATAAATCCATTCAATAACATTAATTAGCACCAACCTGATCCAAAGCCCATCAAGAATCCGGTTTAGCGATTATTATTATTATTATTAAATTCCCTACCTTTCTGTCTGTATACGTGGACCCTTTCCGTGGAATAATCAAGAACGGACATAATTCGTAAATACGCCGTTGAACTCCGGATTCCCTGTACAAATTATACTTTCCTCTTTCGATTAACTTTAATAAATTCCCAATTTTCCTAATCTAGAACCAAATTTGAAAAATTGGAATTAAATTCTACCTCAAGTTATATGTTTTGATGAGATAATCATATGTTCAATTATGATTTAACAACACACAGAAGAAAAGGGAGGAAAGATGGAGCTGAGAGGTGAATTTTTGCCGCAATTCAGAGTCCGACAGCCTCGATTGACGTGGCTTCTCTGTACCAAACGCAAGAAACGTGATTCTCTCCTTGTTGTAAGCATGTTTACTAGGTAATTTTTAATGGGTAGTTCATCTTATTATGAATTTTAAATGTACCAGACTTTTTTTTCCCTTTTAAATTAATGGGCAACTTTTGGCTTTTTTTGGGTAATTGAATTTGCAGAGTTTAACTTAAGAAATGCAGAATAGTTTGCATGTTGGTGCTTAGTTTAAGGTAGTTCTGTACTTTGTTATATGAATTTTGGCTAATTCTCAGAATTATGATCTTTGCTTGGACATCGAAAACGGGAAGAAAATAAAAATGTGTAAACAATATTTTGTTGTCTGATCATTTAGGTAAACTGGTAAATTTAAAAAATATGGGGAAGGAAAGGCATTAAAGTTAAAATAATTTTAATGTTACCTTAGGGGATGGATATGATGGAATTTGCCAAAAAGCCAAGATAAGTGTCAGTCTCATTATTTGATTGGCAAGCGCAGCGTTTCGTTGGGTATTTATTTTCCAGATACCCAAGATAGTAAAAACCTTCGCCTTCAGTTTAGATAACTACATCAACTCATATATGCTTTGAGATCACCATCATGTTTGTCCTTGTGAAAGATGCATAACTCCTTTTTCATTTTAACTATCACTTTTATCATTTTTCCATTATCAAGTTATGAACTAGATAATATAAAATGATAATGATGGCAATATTTAATAATAATATCGTATATGTTGGTAAAAAAATATTACCAGTTTAGAAGTTTATGCTTCTAAATTAACTAAGTTACCATGAAATATCAATCAGAAAAGATATATTATATGGTCAGAGGGATATTCATGTAATAGGTTGACATTCTATTGTCAATGGTGAGTGAGTGAATTATACTTTACCGTCAGCATGATTAACTTATAAGCATGAGTGGTGGGCCTCAGCTTGCACGCGCTGGACAGATTCTTTAGTTCAGTGTTCTCAGTTGATTCCGATAAATCACTTTCTTGTATATTAATTAATAACTTTTGTTAACATCTTTGTCTAAGAATATGTTTAATTACCAAAACAAAGTGGACAGAAAGCACCTTTATTTTATCTTTTTTCTATGTAAATCAAGTGTACAATAATTTTGACTAGCAGACCTCGCTGATAGCTTGTCAAAAACCGTGGATAAATCCAAGCGACCTTTTTTTAAATCCAAGCGATCTTTTCATAGGCGTTTGCCCCCGATTCAATCGGAGTTTGCACTGTAAGAGTGATGCACATAATCCCTATCTACATTCGTCGTCATTTGACTGTTTGCTGTTGAAGAATTTATACCATTTGGTAACGTTATTGAAGCAATTTTGTTGGCCTTGCATACTTTTTTTTTCTTTTATCTAAGACATGCTAATATGAAAGGCTGATCGTGAATGCAGGCCTTAAATCAACTTCACCTGAGGGAAAACTTAATGAAGTAGATGGACTCGGGAAATATTAGTGAAATGGATTCCTAAGGGCTGCTTAAATTCAACAAGAAATGGCCCCAACATTTGTTTGAGATAATACAGGACTGAAGACATTTCCTAACTGTGGGCAAAACTCCCATTTTAATCTAGTTCCCTACCACAGGCACAAATTATGAAAGCTTGCCAGAAGCAGTTAATGATGCCAATTCAGCAGAGATGGGTCTCCCACCCTTATGAAATATGTATATTAGTTTCACATTTCCATTGATTCCACTTTTAGTTGTCATAGTAGATCCAGGTTTGTAAATCCATCTGTTTAGGTCCATAAAGTTCAACTCATTATGGCCAGAACATTTAAAAAAATACAAGATTGAAGATATTTACTGATCATTCATAACAAAACCTTCAGTTTTGATCCATTTCCTTAACAATTTCTGAAAGCTAGGCCGAAGTAGTTATTGATACCCATAAGGCAATTGAGAGATGGGTCTCCTATCCTTGTGAAAAGTGGAGAAAAGTTTTACATTTTTCCTTGCTCTGTTGTAGAATTCCCAAATCTCTATGTATATCACATTTTCTTATTATAGCCAGCTTTATCTGTGTATATGTTAAGTATGCTCATCACGAGCATCAAGGCTGCCAATCTGGAGGATTCGTAGGATACCAGGTTGTTTTGCATATTGAAAATGATTACGTGTTGATTCAGTTGATCTAAAAGTTTAAGTTGTTATATATCATTTAAATCTTATATTCCAATTTCTTTATGGCTATCTGATCCGCTTGACTTTGTTTTTGTCCGACTTTGTTTTTGTCCCTTACTTATTTTTTTTTCATGGGCCTCCAAATTCCTTTAGGGATACGTTTCCTTCTCAGTACTACAGATGGAAGAATCTTGAAGTTCATTGTAACAATGACCAAAGTATCCGGCACTCTTCTCTTTCTAAGAGTGAGAGCTCAAAGATGCCTGAACTCTCTTTTAACCGGCTGCAGCTTACTGACCAGGAATGTGCTGGATTGCAAAGGCGAAACTTTGGTCGCTTCGTTGCACGTGAGGCTTTACTGGATGAAGAATATTGGGTTAGTTTTGTTCTCACTTTTCTTACTCTGTAAAATATAAAAAGAACACACATGCACTCAGACACACTTATATCTTCTTTCATTTATTTATTGTCTATAAGTACTTACTGATTTCTTGTTTCCATGTCTCACTAACAATGGCAGACAGCAGCATGGCTCCGAGCAGAAGCCCACTGGGAATCTTTATCCTATATGAGGTAGATTACCTGCTTTCAGCTTGATTTCATGTACTTAAATTTCCTCAATTGAACTTAATTGTTCTTCAACCTATGCATGTTTGCACATCAAGACATATATCACAAAGGCCAGTTGTTAATATGAAGTGCCTATGAAATTTGGAGTTTTTAAATTACTTATCTTTATTATTTTTAATACCGCCTAAATCACCAGACCAGAGAGTCATTCTCACCTTTTTGAACAAACTTGTAGGCATGTGGGCAGCTACAAAAGAAAGTATGCTGAACAGGTGAGTACATTAGAATATATTTGTTTGATTATCATGGGATGAGCTCCCTTCCCTCCAGCTCTGGCCCATAATATAAAATGTGGTTTGATTATGATTCACTTGGAAATTGAAATTGTCTTCAGCTTTATGGAGAAAAGTTGCATTTGCATTTATTTTATCCAGTTGTACTGTTTTTTGGCTATTAGGCAAAGTTCTTTTGATTTATGGATCACGTGGCCTTTTGATTTCTTATTGGATTTATGTATGGCTTCAAAATCAAGAATTTCGATTGTAATGAAATTGAACGTCTTCAGACTTTTGGCGGAAATGAAGAAGGAATAAAAAGTAACTATAGGTAGTCATTGATGGATTTACGAATACAGTAAACCTCGTCAAGAAGATATCGTACGAGATCCATCAATTTAGGAGTTCACTTACCAGGTTTCGCAAAGGTTTACAGTTAATAAAAAGAAAAAGTTAATTAGAGAAAATGAGAAGAAGTATCCCCTATATGAGAGGAACAAGTACACAAAAAGTAATAGAGAGTGTGGCAGTTGACTTCGGAGATATTCCTTAGATAAACTAGCTTCAATGAGAAGAGAGTGGTCATAAGGAGTGCTTAGTATCTTGTCTTTCTGTTCTCTCTCTTCAGTTTTTACTATCAGCATTATGAATTTGAGAAGTTAAATTATCAAATCTAAGTTGTCAAAATATGCATTTACACACATGACTTAGTGTTGAACTTTGTTTTTAATTCATGTGGATGGCTGGGGAAAATGTAATTTGCAATTGAGAAAAATTTTGAGTACACTGATTTGTTTCTACAAGTTACATATTGAAAAATAGAGAGACACGATCTTCTCAATTTTTGTACTTCGTTTCTTATGATTTTGATCATTATGTGTTTTTAATTGACATATTCAGGAGAAGGCAGATATTGGGAATGAAGATGGTGCCAAGCCTTTGAAGTTAGATGGCGGTGGTAAAGAGTACCCAGGCACCAAATATTACTCAAGAAATGAGTATTCCCTTTTATTACATTGTGTCATTTGAAATTTAGCTGATTGTTGTGTAAGATGGTTATTTTCTACACAAACATATCTTAACCAGTATATTGGTCATTTTTTCTTATCATTTACCAATAAAATTTACCAGCTCATATATTGAATTTTTTGAATTTAGAAAATATAGAATGCTGAACCAATATGTCTTTCCCACATAGATGTGTACATATGTTTTATTGGTATTGCTTACAGCTTGTTGAAGTTGATATATATGTGTTAAGGTACATGTATAAGGCAAAAACATTTTGTCAGAAGTGCGCTACAGAAACTTTCCAATTGGACCTTGTAAAATGGGGAAGTAAATTGCTTACTGGTTGATTTAATGCTATTTATTATGTAGTGTAATTTTCAAGAACAGTATGAGAACTCCCTTTATTTTGATAAAATTAATTTCACCAACCATCATTAGTTTCTGCTATTGGATTGCTATAAATTAAGTCTTAGTACATTATATTTTTGAATGAGAGGTTTTCGCATTGTTCTCTTCTCTTCCATTTTATTTTAGTTCATTTCTTGTTTTCTGTATGAGTATATACTTTTAAATTTATATGCGTGCATGGAAATGAATGAATTTTCTCCCTCACGAGTACATGTGGAGTTCCAGCAGGAATATCGTCATGAAATGAAAGATGAATAGTGTAATCCTTTTTTTTTTTTAAATAAGATTATCCTTCCAATTTTATACCGATTGAAGAAATATCTCATCAACTTATTATATAACTTTGATGAGTACTTCATCTTTTAACGTTTCTCGATTGATTTACGATTGATCTTCAAATATTAGCTTAATTGATAGTGCTTTTGATCTAACTAGAGTTAAAAGGATTATGATCAAACTAATTAACCTTAAATATAATGCTAATAATTCAACTTGGATTATTTAAGTAACTTGATTGTCTTTAATCCACATGGAAAAAGATTTCCTGTATTTTTCAATCATATAATTTAATCAATCTCTCTACATGCTCAATAAGGAAAAGTCCATTCCAATGTAGATATAGCAAACATTCAGTTGGAAATTTTACAAGAATTCAACACATCTAATACTCTAACATTACCTTTAAAATAGTCTAGCCCGTACCTCGCACGGGCAAAGACTAGTCTTATTAATAAATTGCCAAGTTCAACCTACCACAAGCGTCATTCAGGTATCTCTCTAGCATAGTATGGACTAATAAGTCAAAGGGATATTTGTTTGGAAAAAGAACCTCTTTTGTCCTTTCATCTAGTCTCACATTTAACGTGGATAATAACATCAAAAAGCCATTTCTTCTACACAAAACACACACACGAACCATAAAACGTCTTCGACGTGAACACAATCAATCATCCATCCATTTTCATTCTCAGATTGATCAGTTCCATACATATACAAAAACCCACCTGCTGGTGCTCATATAATACAGAATTAAACCTTGTATACGAAATTGAGCTTGAAATATTCATCAATGGTTTGGTTTGGTTTGGTTAGCAGTGTTTTTTGGGTTATATACTGCATAATATTAGTGTTATCTGTTTGTAATTGGTGTATCCAATTTGGAGTGGCTATAAGTGCCGTAATAATCATTGCTCATCACCATCTGCAGTGTCGCCTCGTTTAACCATCACACACACACACACACAAAAATGATTTCCTAAGCACGGGTGCTTAATTTAGATTAAGAACCGATGACATGACATACTATATAATTGGCGTGCCGTTAAATTCATGGGATCAAAAAATTGAAATTTTGATGAGAAAATTTTGGAAAGAAAGAAAAATGTCTGTTTTATAATCTTTTGCTTTATTCCCAAATCCTATTTTCAATGTTGATGAAGAATAATAGAGAATACAGTGCAATAAAATATATGGTAGACTAGAAAATGAAGTATTGTGGGTAGTAAATTAAAAATTACCGTTAATAACTTCAATTACCATGGCAATTTGCATATTGGTCCAATCATTTGAGCCTTATTCGGTTACATAATCCTTTTTATATCGTTATTCATGGGATGCTAGAATATATAAAAGTTATACTTTCAATAGAAATCAATATACTTTATAGGCTAATCAATAAATTTTTAAAAAATATAATATATTTCAATTTTTTAAATAAGACTAAGTAGATGCCCTAATTTTTGCCTTTAATAATATATTTATCACATTTACTGTTCAAATACCCAATTTTTTAAATTCTAGTTAAATAGACCGTAGCTATCGTGACTTTATATACTCACCATATACACTTTTTTCCTATTTCATGATCAAGGATTGGATTCAAGATCGGACTACAAAATTTCAGGTCGGACTACAACGCGAAAATAAAAAAAATTACATGTAAAAAAAAACTGTTTTTACAAACAAAAAAATGCCTTAAAATTTTTTTTTGTTTTTTCTATCTTCTCTTTTTCTCCAAGAATATCTCCCCCTTTTTTTTTTTTTTTTTTGGGTGGGGGGGGGGGGGGGGGGGGGGGGCTACAGCCGTCTCTGTTCATGATTAAAAAGTTCAATCATAATGAGGTAAATTCATATTCTTTTGATATTAAGAGCATTTCTTCAAAGATTCATTTACTATTGTTGGTTTCGAACCTTTAGATGGTTGCATGCATGTGTTTTGTGTATCTATTTATGTTTAACTCATCTTATTGAGCGATGAATTTGCTGTATTTTGCCAATAATTTACGAAAATAACATGTTTTTGTATTTGTATATCATTTTCTATGATGTTATGCATTTTCAATCGCCGCAGCAAGTTCCATAATAGCCAAAAGTTCTACGTATTGCTACTCCATTAATTTCATTTTTACTCATCTCAAATTTTCCTTAAAATTTAGCATTTCTACTTGGATAGGTAATTATGTGAACCCAGTTATTTAATTTAATTTTTAATTTTTAATTTTTTTTTCGTGTTTGTTTTAATATAAATGATCGGTAAATACATTTCATCTATGACAATTGGTGAGAATTTTTTAAGAGAGTTTTACAATTTGAAATTTCGTCAGATAGAAATGAGCATCCTCTATTTATTAAATTTTCATTATATAATACGAGAATAATGAGAATCAAATAAAGGCTTTGGTATAAATATGTAGATGTGCCAAATCTTGTCAGTTTTGGTCACTTTTAACAATGATGATTACGTCAATGGTGACTAAATTATATAAATAAATACTGAATATGGTAAATATGTTGAGGAAATAAAACATCATCTTTAAAGGTTGGGTAGTTGATTCTACACTTTATGAAAGGTTAAAGAGTTCAGTCATAATTTTCCTACGGTTTAAATGAATAACGTTTACAAAAGTTCCTCTCCAATATCTAACTAAATATATAAGAGTGAGTTTTCTTTCACTGTTCATAAGCCATTTTCTAGCCAAGTTGAGCCATATTGGAGTGAGCTTTCATCATTGCTGGGTTTGGCTGCCACGTATGTTGATGATTTTCCACTTTATCTCTCTAAAACTCATTCACTCACTCGCTCACTTTCTATCTCTATATCTATATTTTGCATCACTTACACACTTTTCTCTCTCTCTTCTTCACACTCACATTCTTTCTCTCTATATATATGACTGCATATTCTTAAACCAGTCTTTTTTTATCTTCTAAAGGTATAGGATGTTATGAATAATATTGAAAGATTCATCTAACTCATCTTTTTAAAGATACAAGGAAATCAATTCTTTAACAACCTCTCGTGACGGGTGGTAATGAAGTAAACGTTAGCGAATCAAATGTAATTTTGCATATTCTTTCTTTTCTTTTTTTTGGATTACTCAGAATTATTTTGGTTTTCATGGGCTATATTTAGGGATTTTTTTAATAAGTTTTAGTCATAGAAATTGCTTTATTTTTTCTATTGTTTTCATCATCAATCATGGGTTTCAATTTTTGTTTCTTTCTGCTTATTTTTTACTAACTTAGTATTGATTTAGCTAACTTTAATAAGCTGATTTTATGCTTGTCGTTTGGAATTTTTAGGTTGTTTCTCGATCTTTATCATTTACTTTCTTTTGTAGTGTATGCATGATTTTTCCATAATTTTCCTTTAATGGATCAAAAAATTATTTTAAAGTAAATTTAAGTATATTCTAAGTTAGCCCAAAATGGTATTGTTGCCAATATTGACAAATAAAAAAATTATTTAGTTTTAAATTTACTTATTTGTTTATGATTAAAGTTCTTTAAACCTAGCTAAACATCACCACCTTTCTAAAACAAGAAGCCGTTCATTCCGATCCAACAGCCAGCAAATTGTAAGTTGTAACCGATGAATTTCACTATATAATTTGTAGAAAGGAAAATTACAAAATCTCTCTCTCTTTTCTCCCAAGTGATACAAAAAGAGAAATTGATAGACATTCTTAAAAAATTTCCCAATTTATGGTGCAAATAAACCCTATTGGCACTTTCTCAATTACATTAATGTTGGATTGACACTTAATAATTCACTTCTTAACAAATTTTATCAAGTTCCCATTTGTCAGTTCCGCAATCTTATCACCCAAAAATTCACTATTAAAAAACCTTTCGTCAAAATCCACAATCCCAAACCCGTTTGGTGATCTCTTTAAAGTATACAAGAAGTGAGATTCTCAAGTGGGTTGTGATCGATTCAGAGAACAACACAAGGATGTTTCGGGAAGTTGGTCAATATCCTTGCAACATTTTGAGGGTGAATTTCAATGTAGTGAGTTGAGATGAATTATGTAAATGTTTTGGTCAAATGTTGGAATTGGATTCCTGGTAATTTGGATTATTTGTACAAGATGTGAGTTCAGTTACTTGTGGACTAAATTTTCTGTTCTTAATGATAAACGTGATGCCCTTCTTGTTATGTGTTTGGCCGTGCTTACACTACATCACTCACTAAAATCCCACAAAATCAAAATCCAACATTTTACTTACACTATATCACTCACTACATGTGTAACACACATGCATTCACTAGTAATTAGTAAAAGAATGGACGTCTAGCATTCGATGGTCTAAATATAATATTTTGTGAAATTCAATAACAAGTCTGATGGGTTTGAAAGCAAATTAAAAATTAGTACGCAATGTTATAAAAAGTACAAAGTTCAATGCCAAAAAAATTATATTTAGCTCTTCCCGCCAAAAAAATAACAACGTAACAAAATGATTACGAGTCTGAACTTACAGAAATTTACCCAAATAACTCTAGCTAATTAATTGCCACACTATTTTCTCTACAAAGACTTTTAGTGCACGTGTTCGATTTAGCTAAAAAAAAATACGATTTTTAGTAAGTTTTAATAATAATAATCGCTAAAAAGATAGAATATGATTTCATCCAACAGTGTAGAGTTGATTATATATCAATCTATACGAGTATCTTATAATAAAATAATCTGTATAAGAAAACCAGCCCATAGAATATGATTTCACACATTGTTTTCTACCATAAATTTGTGGTTTTGCTCTCCACAAAGTTCTACTGGCAAGCATTGCCATATCAACAAAATTTCCTATTAAAAATTCAAAATAATTCCACATTGTGAATGGATTTTTCAGTCAATAACATTAATTAGCATCAACCTGATCCAAAGCCCATCAAGAATCCGGTTTAGCGATTATTATTATTATTATAAATCCATTCAATAACATTAATTAGCACCAACCTGATCCAAAGCCCATCAAGAATCCGGTTTAGCGATTATTATTATTATTATTAAATTCCCTACCTTTCTGTCTGTATACGTGGACCCTTTCCGTGGAATAATCAAGAACGGACATAATTCGTAAATACGCCGTTGAACTCCGGATTCCCTGTACAAATTATACTTTCCTCTTTCGATTAACTTTAATAAATTCCCAATTTTCCTAATCTAGAACCAAATTTGAAAAATTGGAATTAAATTCTACCTCAAGTTATATGTTTTGATGAGATAATCATATGTTCAATTATGATTTAACAACACACAGAAGAAAAGGGAGGAAAGATGGAGCTGAGAGGTGAATTTTTGCCGCAATTCAGAGTCCGACAGCCTCGATTGACGTGGCTTCTCTGTACCAAACGCAAGAAACGTGATTCTCTCCTTGTTGTAAGCATGTTTACTAGGTAATTTTTAATGGGTAGTTCATCTTATTATGAATTTTAAATGTACCAGACTTTTTTTTCCCTTTTAAATTAATGGGCAACTTTTGGCTTTTTTTGGGTAATTGAATTTGCAGAGTTTAACTTAAGAAATGCAGAATAGTTTGCATGTTGGTGCTTAGTTTAAGGTAGTTCTGTACTTTGTTATATGAATTTTGGCTAATTCTCAGAATTATGATCTTTGCTTGGACATCGAAAACGGGAAGAAAATAAAAATGTGTAAACAATATTTTGTTGTCTGATCATTTAGGTAAACTGGTAAATTTAAAAAATATGGGGAAGGAAAGGCATTAAAGTTAAAATAATTTTAATGTTACCTTAGGGGATGGATATGATGGAATTTGCCAAAAAGCCAAGATAAGTGTCAGTCTCATTATTTGATTGGCAAGCGCAGCGTTTCGTTGGGTATTTATTTTCCAGATACCCAAGATAGTAAAAACCTTCGCCTTCAGTTTAGATAACTACATCAACTCATATATGCTTTGAGATCACCATCATGTTTGTCCTTGTGAAAGATGCATAACTCCTTTTTCATTTTAACTATCACTTTTATCATTTTTCCATTATCAAGTTATGAACTAGATAATATAAAATGATAATGATGGCAATATTTAATAATAATATCGTATATGTTGGTAAAAAAATATTACCAGTTTAGAAGTTTATGCTTCTAAATTAACTAAGTTACCATGAAATATCAATCAGAAAAGATATATTATATGGTCAGAGGGATATTCATGTAATAGGTTGACATTCTATTGTCAATGGTGAGTGAGTGAATTATACTTTACCGTCAGCATGATTAACTTATAAGCATGAGTGGTGGGCCTCAGCTTGCACGCGCTGGACAGATTCTTTAGTTCAGTGTTCTCAGTTGATTCCGATAAATCACTTTCTTGTATATTAATTAATAACTTTTGTTAACATCTTTGTCTAAGAATATGTTTAATTACCAAAACAAAGTGGACAGAAAGCACCTTTATTTTATCTTTTTTCTATGTAAATCAAGTGTACAATAATTTTGACTAGCAGACCTCGCTGATAGCTTGTCAAAAACCGTGGATAAATCCAAGCGACCTTTTTTTAAATCCAAGCGATCTTTTCATAGGCGTTTGCCCCCGATTCAATCGGAGTTTGCACTGTAAGAGTGATGCACATAATCCCTATCTACATTCGTCGGCATTTGACTGTTTGTTGTTGAAGAATTTATACCATTTGGTAACGTTATTGAAGCAATTTTGTTGGCCTTGCATACTTTTTTTTTCTTTTATCTAAGACATGCTAATATGAAAGGCTGATCGTGAATGCAGGCCTTAAATCAACTTCACCTGAGGGAAAACTTAATGAAGTAGATGGACTCGGGAAATATTAGTGAAATGGATTCCTAAGGGCTGCTTAAATTCAACAAGAAATGGCCCCAACATTTGTTTGAGATAATACAGGACTGAAGACATTTCCTAACTGTGGGCAAAACTCCCATTTTAATCTAGTTCCCTACCACAGGCACAAATTATGAAAGCTTGCCAGAAGCAGTTAATGATGCCAATTCAGCAGAGATGGGTCTCCCACCCTTATGAAATATGTATATTAGTTTCACATTTCCATTGATTCCACTTTTAGTTGTCATAGTAGATCCAGGTTTGTAAATCCATCTGTTTAGGTCCATAAAGTTCAACTCATTATGGCCAGAACATTTAAAAAAATACAAGATTGAAGATATTTACTGATCATTCATAACAAAACCTTCAGTTTTGATCCATTTCCTTAACAATTTCTGAAAGCTAGGCCGAAGTAGTTATTGATACCCATAAGGCAATTGAGAGATGGGTCTCCTATCCTTGTGAAAAGTGGAGAAAAGTTTTACATTTTTCCTTGCTCTGTTGTAGAATTCCCAAATCTCTATGTATATCACATTTTCTTATTATAGCCAGCTTTATCTATGTATATGTTAAGTATGCTCATCACGAGCATCAAGGCTGCCAATCTGGAGGATTCGTAGGATACCAGGTTGTTTTGCATATTGAAAATGATTACGTGTTGATTCAGTTGATCTAAAAGTTTAAGTTGTTATATATCATTTAAATCTTATATTCCAATTTCTTTATGGCTATCTGATCCGCTTGACTTTGTTTTTGTCCGACTTTGTTTTTGTCCCTTACTTATTTTTTTTTCATGGGCCTCCAAATTCCTTTAGGGATACGTTTCCTTCTCAGTACTACAGATGGAAGAATCTTGAAGTTCATTGTAACAATGACCAAAGTATCCGGCACTCTTCTCTTTCTAAGAGTGAGAGCTCAAAGATGCCTGAACTCTCTTTTAACCGGCTGCAGCTTACTGACCAGGAATGTGCTGGATTGCAAAGGCGAAACTTTGGTCGCTTCGTTGCACGTGAGGCTTTACTGGATGAAGAATATTGGGTTAGTTTTGTTCTCACTTTTCTTACTCTGTAAAATATAAAAAGAACACACATGCACTCAGACACACTTATATCTTCTTTCATTTATTTATTGTCTATAAGTACTTACTGATTTCTTCTTTCCATGTCTCACTAACAATGGCAGACAGCAGCATGGCTCCGAGCAGAAGCCCACTGGGAATCTTTATCCTATATGAGGTAGATTACCTGCTTTCAGCTTGATTTCATGTACTTAAATTTCCTCAATTGAACTTAATTGTTCTTCAACCTATGCATGTTTGCACATCAAGACATATATCACAAAGGCCAGTTGTTAATATGAAGTGCCTATGAAATTTGGAGTTTTTAAATTGCTTATCTTTATTATTTTTAATACCGCCTAAATCACCAGACCAGAGAGTCATTCTCACCTTTTTGAACAAACTTGTAGGCATGTGGGCAGCTACAAAAGAAAGTATGCTGAACAGGTGAGTACATTAGAATATATTTGTTTGATTATCATGGGATGAGCTCCCTTCCCTCCAGCTCTGGCCCATAATATAAAATGTGGTTTGATTATGATTGACTTGGAAATTGAAATTGTCTTCGGCTTTATGGAGAAAAGTTGCATTTGCTTTTATTTTATCCAGTTGTACTGTTTTTTGGCTATTTGAAATTAAGCTATATCAGCCAACATATCATGCATCTGGAATTACAATTTCTCTTCTGAATATGGCCTGATGTATGTGGTAATGTCTTTTCCCTTGATATACACTTCCTAAGGGAAAAGCATTTGACCTTTAGGCATCTGACCTGGCTATGAGTTCAATACAACTCCACAATCTCACAATTCAAATGCTGTAAAATCCTCTTTAAGAACTCTAACTCTAATAAATAGAAGCAATGTTGAATCCGTTCAAGTTATCGTGCTTTGAAAATTCAAAGATTTACAAGTCTTGCACTAGTTTCCATGAAAAGATTGAAACATGAAAAACTTTTGAATTTTTGTCCCAGGTGGTGAAAAAGGGGTTTAGAAATGTATCTTTCTACTGTAGAATACTTGTATTGGTGATAAATGCAAATTGTTTTGCGCCTTGTGTCTTTTATCTTTTTGACCTTTGATTCTTTATTTGGATTGATGCATGAGCACGTTATTTTTAGACCTTGGGTTTTCCCCTAGTGCTGAAATCATTTGTTCTTGGTATGTTAATTTAGTTGTGAATAGCACCTTAAAAATTTCGAATCTAGGACCTTCATCTTAAGTTTTTTCTTGCATATTTATTTGGTCGCTACATTAACTCTTTGGACCAATATCCATCTTCAATATTTTGTTCCCTGTAGTTGCTTCCAAAGCACCTCAACGGTCTTATACTCCCTCCCTATAGGATGTAATCATGAATTGATGACTCCTGCATTCAACTTGTATTCACAGGAGTTCAATGCTTTGAAGCGGAGGTGTCTCGGGCAGCATGGAAATTCATTGAAATGCTTTTGTTTTGTTGCAGTAAGTGAAGTAAACTCTAATACAAGTCTTTCCTTCTGCCAAGCCCTTTTCAACTTTGCATGCGGCTGTCTCTCCCCATTCGTGATCTCTTTTATTCACTCAATATACAAGCAAAAGCAACTAGTGAACAGAGATCCTGTTTTCTTCTTTCCTTTACTTGAGATTTCTATGTTTATGGCCTCTCCAAATAAACTTCTCTCTCTTCAACATATGAGACTGATTTTATGAATCTTTATTAATTGAATTAGAATCTTTCAGTTCTGAATTACCTATTATAAAATGTTGGATAAATATTCTGAGCTCCATCTTTTCTCCATCCACATCTTAGGTTAAGAAGGAAGAGAAAAATGTAAGAAGAACTGTTCTTAATAGTGTTGTGGGAACTCTAGACTTGAGCATCAGACAATTCGTCCAAGGGGAAACATATCCTGGGGTACATCCTTGATTTCCTAAATTGTCTGCCTATAGCAAAAACATCATGAGTTAAAAATTCTAATGAATTTTCAATTGACCATGTTAAATGCAAAACTTTTTTCTGTGGTTTCAGGAGATAAAGAGATTGTCACCTGTCTTGGCAAGTAAAGGCCCATTTAACGCAAATAAATATGCTTATATTGCAAATGTTTGTGTTGCAAAGTTTGCTCGACGTCAGGGTATTGCTTCAAATATGTTATACTTAGCAACCGATGTTGCTACCATGACAGGTGCCATATTTTGCCATTGAACATGCTTGAATATTTAGTGCTGCCTATCTCTAATTTCTTTTGCCTGTTTAATCTTTATACAATCGGCTTTACTTTTTACTAATCGGAATGCTAATTTGCCTTGCACTTTTACTTTGTTATAAAATTAGGTATCAGGCAGCTGTTTGTTCATGTAAATGTAGAGAACAAGACTGCTCAGGATCTGTACAGAAAAACTGGTTTTAAGGTTATCCACTAAACTTGCATTCCATGCTTGATCATGTTCTATTTAATTTTTTGAACATTTGAGGCATTAAAACAGCCTCTTTGCCCTCAATGGAATTGGTGAATAAATCACAAATCTGCTTTGTTATTGACACTGGCTTGCAAATAAACAATGAGGTCGATATACATCATTGAACCATTCGTTTATCTTTGTGTAGCTAGTAAAGTTTGTTAATTTCTTGCCATTATTGGTTAACTTAGATTGGTGCTATAAAAACAGAAACAATTCACGTTACTCGTTCATTTGATGATCCCTGCAGATCTTTGATACCACTTCAACTCCCTCATCGAAAGATGAGAGGCTATTAATGTCCATGGAATTGTAAGTTATGCAATGCAATGTTGCCTCTCTCTGCAGAGAAAGAAAACAGGAAATTCCATTGTTATAATAAGCTTGAGATAGGTTTGTTGAAGTCAACAGCTTGTTGGTTTTTGTGTATAACTAATTTGAGTGTGAGTATGTTGCAAGGGTATAGAAATTTGTTGTAAAAGACAGAATTATCAATATATAGTTTTCTATTGTGCTTGAATTAGTGAGTGCCACATGGGGCGACATTATTTTCCTTGCATTCACCATGCAAAATTGCAAAATTTGTTAGACGAGGTTTGGTGTTCCTTGCAATGGGAACAAGATAGCCCGCAACCTGGCCTCCTTTGTTACCAATTCCCATGCTGCTAACTACTGAATTGATTGTATTCCTCTCTTCATTGAGTAGTTCATCGTTGGGGTTGGCTTAGCCCATGAGCTCACGAGCTTAGCTTGTCCAAGAGATGAGCTGAACTCAGGCTCGTTCGAGCACAAGCCGAGGTCGTTCTTGTGGGGCGAGCTCGGTCCCTAAGCTTGTGAGCTCAAGTGTTGAACCAAGCTTGCCCACAAGCCCATATATTTATTTTTTTATTTATTTTACTTTGAAATGTGATCAAACGGTAATATTTGCAAAAAATATGATCATTTGTTCACATTTTTTACGAGTTTTTGAGCTTGGTTAGCGCTTGTCAGTCGTCCAAATATTTTTGGGCTTGGCTCGCGCTTCAGCTCAAACTTGGACGAGCCCTAGCAGTCCATGAATCGAGTTCAGACAAGCCGCTTGGTCCAATCGTCACTTCTAGTTCAGTCATGATTTGTGATGATTTTCCCTGTTTCAGGAAATAAAATGAATTTGAAAACCCTTTAATTTTCACATGGCCTACACAAACCCCCCAAAACCCAAAAATCTAAAAAGCGAAAAGAAAAAGAAAATTATTCTTGTATTGAGAAGTAATTAAATTATGTTTGCTTTAACTACCATAAAAGTGCAGAAATAAACTCGTTTTCTTTTAGTAATCTTACAAAGATAAATGTAATTCAAATTTTTAAAAATACCATATTTATTTTGCCATATAATGTGCAATTTTATGGATATACTTTACATGGGAAAAACTAAAAAAAATAGAAATAGTACATTTAAAAATAATATATATATATATATATATATCCATAAAATTGCACATTATATGGCAAAATAAATATGGTATTTTTAAAAATTTGAATTACATTTATCTTTGTAAGATTACTAAAAGAAAACGAGTTTATTTCTGCATAGAGAGAGAGAGAGAGAGAGAGAGAGAGAGAGAGAGAGAGCAACGAAGTGGTAATTTATATTCATTAATAGATATGATTCTTTTAAGTGGTAAATTTATCATCAGTACTCGAATAAGATGATTGAAATAGTATCGTGACATCGTCAAGCATGTCTAGCACCATACAACTTAAGTACAAATATCTTATGCAACAAATAATCAACTCATTATCTTTTTAATTCTTTAAAATAAAACGCGCAACGCATATAGGTTTCTTTCATATATAGGTTCATACGTCATAAGATACCGAGTGTAGCTATTTCATGCCTTATGGAATCTCTGTAGTTAGAAACTTGTTTGTAATTCAAAATAGGGTGTAAAAATTTAGCCCCTTTCATAGAAGTTGCGTGCAAGATAGGAGGAGAGGCATATAGGAGATCTATATAAATGTTCTTAGGGTTACTGAATTTATATTTCACTTATTTTAAGTGGATTATTGAAATTTATTGTGTTGATATTGGAGTACTCCACTGTGTTAGCACGAAAGGGAAAAAAGAAGAAGAAGTTATATATACACTAACATAAATCTAGTAAAACAACCAGCTTTTCAAATTATAATTCAACCCTTAAAAAACAAAAAAAATAAAAATAAAAATTCACGGCTTTAGTCTTCTTATTCCTAGGAATCACTTTTGCCAAGACTTCTCCTTGTGGACAAGGTCCAGTTGCACATAGACGACTTATAATTATTGGTGAAAAAGAATAAATATTTCAACTCCTCACTCAAGGATAGCAACAGGGAGGGTCGTTCTTGCCCTGCTGGGGCCAGGGCCGGGGCCATGTTCCCTGGCAGGGTGGGAAATCGCCGTCCCATTCGGTGTGGGCAGGTAGCCTTTCCTATCTTCAATTAATTTGATCATATATATTTTTTATGCGTTGGTATGTTTACCTTATTTCTGTTATATTCTTTTACTATAAGTTAAGTAATTTTAGTCTTATTTTTTATTTACTTTACAAATACATTTTGGACTTCTACTTCATAGTATGTTTACAACCAAAAAGTTATGTACAAATGAAATAATTCGGACTTAAGCAATGTTTTAACTATTATTGTTATTAAGTCAGCCAAATCGTTGATTGGAGCATATGGACAGAATGATCAACTTGAAAACACGTCATATGGCTAGGTGTTTAGTTTAGATGACAATGAGTTATTGAAAGAATCTCGAGTTTTTCGTAGTTGGCCTAACCAGATGAGTCATACGACGGCGAATGATCGTCATGTGATGGCAAACTCATTTTTTCTCGACCAATAATCCCTTTTCTGGACTCCATTTCTTCGGTTACCCATTCCAGTGGGTCCAAATCAAATACCTTAGGAACTTGCCCTTTACAGTGCCGCCTATGACCACCAAGGGCCTGACCCTTTGAGAAAAATCTGTTACAATTCAAACGTTTGTGGCCTGGACTGTTCCGTGGCTGATCTTCATATCCAACCAGGGACGGATTCAGAATTGGATCTAAGATCGGGCTATAAAATTTTAAGTCGGACTAATATGTGAAAAGAAAAAATTTTACACACAAAAAACTGTTTTAAAAAAAAATGAAAAATGCCTTAAAAAATATAAATTTCTTGGGCCTTGGGGGGGGACTACAGTCCAGCCCAATCCCTCCATATCTGTCTCTGTATCCAACCACCACCGCGTCCACGGCTGTAAATTCTTTATCTTCAGCCGTGGCATCGCCCTTGTCGTGGTGGGCTTTGTAGCCACCCAATGCCTGGTAACTCTTGAAAGATTTCTTACATATGCTGCACATGTTTCTTGTACAGCTCCCGAGAATGCAATAATTTGGCTTTGCCATGCATTTTTCTCCTTCCAGTTTTAGAACATCTAGCTAATAAATTAGAGCTCAGGTTTCACGGGGTGCCTTTCTTCTTGGCACAGAAATGGATACCGTGTGGCAGTAGTTTGCTCCACTAGACTACCTTCCGCCTTTTCTCGATCGCGTCAGAACGAAAGAAAATTTGATTACAATTTTGTAGAAAGTTTACAATTGAGAATTTGAATACATTGAAAGTAAAGTGAACATTGATTGATGAAAACTGAACATTACAATTGATGAAAGCAGAAAATTACAAATGCTGGTGTAGGGGGCGGACACCAGTGAGCTTGAAAGATTTTTGAATGACTAATACCCCCTATAATAGCATTCTGAACAAAAACCCAAGTGACAGGAGTAGACGTTTAAAAGACGAGGAATCATACTAAACGTTTACCAATATCAGAGCTATTTTACAATTGAAATAACTATTACAATGAGAAGAAAATTACAACTCAAACTTGAAGTAATATTTACAATGTACGGTCGAAGTTGGGCAAACTGCGGCTGCGATAGTGTCAAGGGGCTAAGTAAAGTTGCGGTCCTTGACATTCTCTCCCATTTGTTTTGGCGACGTCCTCGGTGCCATCAATGCATAATATGCTTCAATTAATGATTTGAAGGCTCCGAAATCTTTTCCTCTTTCCCAAGTATTCTCCTCGCTGCTGCATCCCATCCATTTAACCAAGTATTCCTGATGATCTTTTCTAGAAGCTCGAGTGATTCGATGGTCAAGAATAGCTTCAGCAACCTTTTTTCCAGCTTTCTTCAATTCAAATACAGGTCGCTTTGGCTCATTTCTAGATGCGTCCTCCTTATCCGCAAAGTATGGCTTCAACACACTAACATGAAGGACCTTATGGATTTTACACCATGAAGGGAGTTCAACTCTGTATGCAACTCTTCCAATCCTTTTCACGATGGGTAATGACCCGATGTATTTTGGCGACAATCTTGAGTCTTTCCCTCTTGTTGGTTTGTAAACATTTCTGTCGGGAATCTTAACCATTACTAGATCTCCAACATTGAATTCAATGAAACGGCGCTTTAGGTCTGCAACCTTTTTATACCGTTTTTGAGCTTTCTCAAGATAACTTCGAGCAATTTCAATATTTCGTTTCCACTCTTGAGAAAAGTTCTTTGCTTGAGGGGACTTGATACTTCGTTCAATATCCACTGTATGAGGGAGTAGCGGTTGCTGGCCAGTAACAATCTCAAAAGGACTCTTATTGGTAGAAGAGCTCTTTTGGGCCTTGAAGCAAATTTGGGCCGCATCCAAAAGTTTTACCCAATTTTTCTGCGAAGTAGAGATAAAGTGCCGAAAATATTCTTCTAGCATAGAATTGAAGCGCTCCGTCTGTCCGTCAGATTGTGGGTGAAAACTAGAACTCAAGCTCAAAGTTGAACCAAGAAGTTTGAACAACTCAATCCAAAATATGCCAGTGAAACGAGGATCTCGATCACTGACGATGTCCTTAGGCAGCCTCCAGTATTTGACAATATGTTTGAAGAAGAGTTGAGCTGTCTCTTCCGCAGATACATACTTAGGCGCTGCAATGAAAGTTGCATATTTTGATAGACGGTCCACCACGACAATGATAGTGCCAAAATCCTCAACTTTTGGCAACCCAATAATGTAGTCCATCGATACACTTTCGAATGGCCGGGTTGGGACGGAAAGGGGTTCCAGCAAGCCCGCCTTTTTCTGATGATCTACCTTATCTTGCTGACAAATAAGACAAGTTTTTACATATGTTGCAATGTCGTCCAGCATTTGAGGCCAGTAGTATGCACGTTGTAGTAGTGCACAAATGCGTTCCTCTCCGGGATGCCCTGCCCAAATTGTATCGTGGCATTACATAATTAGTGATTTCCTCAGATCTCCGCCCTTAGGAACATATAGGTGGTCTCCCTTCATCTTCACTAGTTCCCCATCTAGCCAGAACTGTCGAATTTTACCCTGCTTGATAAGGTCGACCAAATATTGGGCAGCTAGGTCCTTCTCCATAAGTGCCCAAATTTGGTCTCTAGTGTTCGTGGAGACTGCGCTCCCTGAAAGAGCAGCTACAGAGTAGATGGCAGCTAAATCGGCCCGTCGACCAAGAGCATCAGCAACATGATTACTAGAGCCAGGACGATACTCTAACATAAAATTGAACTCTGAAAGGAATTCCTGCCAACGAGCCTGTTTGCTCGATAGTTTTGGGTGGGACATGAAGTGACTAACTACAGTGTTATCTGTCTTCACAATAAATGGAGACCCAAGCAGATAGTGACGCCATCCTCTGAGACAATGGACAACTGCTAACAATTCCTTTTCATGTGCCGAGTAACGACGTTCTGTCTAGTTTAACTTCCAGCTCTCATATGCTACCGGATGTCCTTCTTGCATGAGGACTCCACCAAGGGCAAAATCTGAAGCATCTGTATGAACTTCGAATGGTTTAGCCATATCCGGTAAGGCTAAAATCGGGTTCGTCCACTTGGACTTCTTCAACCTTTCAAAAGCAGCTTGGCATTGGGATGACCAATCCCAATCCTTATCCTTCTTTGTCAATTCAGTAAAGGGCAGTGCAATTTCTGAGTAGTCTTTCACAAATCTTCGATAGTAATTGCATAACCCAAGAAATGAACGTACATCATGTACGATTTTTGGTGGTTGCCAATCTTTGATTGTTGTAACCTTCTTCGAATCCATGCGGATTTTACCTTGTTCAATGATGTGACCCAAGAAACTGATAGATGTCTGAGCAAATGAGCATTTAGATGGCTTAGCATAAAGTTCATTCTCTCGTAGCTGATTAAAAACTTGCCTCACATGCTAGACATGTTCCTCCAATGTCTCGCTGTAGATTACTATGTCATCCAAGTACACCACGACAAAATCATCTAAGAACCCGTGAAGTACCTGATTCATCATAGTACAAAATGTTGCTGGAGCGTTTGTTAAACCAAAAGGCATCACTTTAAATTCAAAGACTCCATATCTGGTTACCACCGTAGTTTTTGCTTCGTCTTTCTCCTTGATCCAAACTTGCCAATATCTGGACCTAAGATCAATTTTTGTGTAATACTTCGCCCGACTTAGTCGATCGAAGCAATCCGCAACCAATGGGATAGGATAGCTATTCTTTACAGTGATCTTGTTCAAGGCTCGATAGTCACAGCACATTCTAAGAGAACTATCAGTCTTTTTCTAAAACAATACAGGAGCTCCGTATGGCGACTTCGCAGGCACAATGATTCCACTCTCCAACATTTCCCCCAACTGCTTCCTAAGCTCTTTAAGCTCAGGCTGAGACATACGGTATGGTACCCTGGCAGGAGCTTTAGCGCCTGGAATAAGTTCGATCTCATGATCAATCATCCTTCTGGTGGTAATTACTTTGGTAATTCTTCCGGCATGATGTCCTCAAATTCCCGAATAAGCCTTTTAACGGGTTTTGGAATAGGACTATTCGCCTCTTTGACCTCCTCTAATCGAAGAGTGCACAAAAAAGATGGTTCATTTCTCTTGAAACCTTTACTAAATTGCATAGCTGAGATACTCTTCTCGCCCATCCTCCCAACCTGTGTAGGGATGACACACGGCTTATTACCCATCATCATTAACGAATCGGAATATGGCAACACTGCTGTCTTAGTATCCCGAAGAAATTCCAATCCTAGAATAAGCTTGAAATCATCCATCTGAATTGTAGATAAATTTGTCCTTTCCTCGAAAGGACCTGCTTTGATCAACACCGATTTCGCCACTCCAGCTATTGGTTGAGTAGCGGAGTTGATTGTTTTGACTTTTCCACTACCCTTTTCTAGAACCAGTCCAAACCGCTCTACTTTGGTACATGCAAGGTAGTTGTGGGTAGCACCAGTATCCACCATAGCCCTGACTGGCTTCCCATTGATTTTTACATCAATGAACATTAAGTCTTTGGCCCTACAAATATGAGCATTCGCTTCTTCCATCTTTGCCTCTTTCAATGGGACATCATCCTTTTCAGCAACCCGATGTGATAGTGTGTTGCACCGATGTGAAAATGCCCCAACTACTTCCTCATCCTCTTCAGAGTCAGTCTCATTATGACAATTAGCCTGCGGGACCTCTTGTTTTGACTTGGCCCACCACTTGCTAACTGACAATATGCATTCACCATCTGCTTCTGAGGACACTCCGACACCCGATGAGATCTTTCACATAAAAAGCACTTCAATTTGGGAGTGGCATCAGTTCGGCCCTCCGTTGCTTTTCCTTTGTTTCAGTTGTTACTATTACTACCGTTAAAATTTCCCTGACGGCTGTTATGATAGTTTCCCTGAAAGCCACGGGTGCTTTGATAGGCTCCTTCTCTATTTTGAGAGTAACGCTCTCCCCCATTTGGTTTCGAGCTGGGTCTGTAAGATCTGTTACCACCTCCAATTGCTTGATTACTCCCCGAAGGTCGATCTTTTCTAGATTCTGTTTGGTAGTCGCTCAAGTATTCAGCGACTCCCATGGCCGTGCTTAAATCAGTAACCTTTTGTATTTGAAGTTTCGTGCGTATCCACAGTTTCAACCCTTCCATAAAGGTGAAGAGCTTATCATTTTCTGACATATCTCGAATATTCAGCATATGCCCTGAGAAGGATTTCACATACTCCCTGATAGAGCTCGTGTGTTTGAGGTCTCGAAGAGCCCGTCGAGCCTGATACTCGACATTTTCCGGGAAAAACTGTGATCTGATCGCTTCCTTAAGGAGATCCCAAGAATCAATTCAAATCCTGTGGGCCTGAATGTCCGCATATTTGGTTCGCCACCATAGTTTTGCATCTCCACCCAGATACATGGTAGCTGTGGTTACCTTTCTAGCTTCATCTTCGATCGAAGCTGCGAGAAAGTAATGTTCCATATCAAACAAGAAGTTTTCGACTTCTTTTGCATCACGTGCCCCTCCATAGGT